CCCCCCCCCCGCCCCGACGCCCCCGAGGCGGGGACACAGGCCGGCGCCGACGCCCCAAGGCTGCCCTGGGGTGCTCGGGGCGTCCGCGCAGAGCCCAGGGCGCGACGCGGGGACCCGGACCCCAGCGGGAGAGGGGGCGCCACCCGGGGCCGGAATTGGATGGAGGAACCCCAGTGAGTACGACGCGCCGCTGGAGGGGCCGTCTCCCCAGGGTGGATGGGTGGGGGCGGGGGACTGTGGGGTCAGCGTCCAGCGCTCAAGCTCGCAGAGACCAGAGAGCCCGGGCCGTGCCCGGCAGTGACCGGGGCGAGCGGCAGCGCTAATGGGGACGGGAGAGGACTGAAGTAGCGGCCCTAGGAAGCCGCGCGGCGGAGGGCGGCGCTCCTGGTGGCGGGGCCAAACTCAGGCTCAGTGGCGAGCCACTTCGGAGACGGAGTCCTCCCTTGATTTTCTCTCGCCAAGGCTCCTGGGCACGTTTTTTTCCTGCTTCTCCCACCAGCTACACCTGGGGGTTTCTCCTTCCTCTTAGGGCGACGCAGCTTATTGTTCCACGAAGCTTTTTTTTTTTTTTAATCTACTGAAAGATTAGTTTTATTTGAATTAACCTACTGGGTGTCTGTCCTTTTTATTCTCCAAAGTACACTGAGTTTGAGGACCGCCCTCCTCTCCAAAGTACACTGAGGATGTTATTCCAGGAGTCCTCTGCCGCTTTCTCTTAACAAGTGGTACCATAGGACTAAGCTTCCGATCTACTGTGGTCACTTTTTGCCTTTCTTGAGCCCGTCAGTGTGCTTACCGATAAGCACACCTGACTTCTGCAGTTAGCCCCATTCACCGAGAGGGCACGTTCCCCATTTTCAGAGGATTTTAAAACTAAGTCATTGCTGAGGACGACCGTCTTCAACATGCCGCCTGATTCTCTTCAACGTCTGCTAAGACGGTGCTCAGACATCTTCCCTTACGACTTAAAATTCCCACCTAACGTTAACACACCGAGCAGGGACACTGTTATATTGTGCAATGCCCCCGTGTCACCAGGCGAACAGCTCTGTGCTGCAGGAGCAAGTGTGATGGGCGCAGCTGCGTTCACCCCAATCCCTGTGTGGAAGCCAGGAGCCTGTGCCTTGGGGTGTGCCTGCACTGCAGCAGACCCTCCAAAGATATGGTTCCAAAGGGAAAACGAGGGCCCAGACTGGCTGTAGCACCGTGTGACTGTGGCCTTTTGAGAAGTGGCAATGAGGACACAAGTGAAGACGGACACAGGTACCTGCAGGCAAGGCCAGAGTGCTGCAGACGCCCCTGCCGGCACTTGATCTTGGACTTCTGGATTCGTGAGGAAGCGTGTTTCAGCCCCCAGATAGAGCAGCTTGTAGGCCAACCCTCACACACGTACAGGGAGCTAGACCGTTCACCTTCTGATGAACAATGAAGCCCCGTATCCATCCCGGGCCCTACAGGCGAAATCCCCAAATTATAGGCAGGCCTTTCTTGCCAGAAAAAGGAATACCTTCTGCTCCGTCTTGTCTAGTTTAAATAAATGGTTATAGTAAAGGAGGGGAACCCCAAGAGAACCTTCTTTTAGCATTGGGGTGCAGAGATAGGAAGGCAAGGAAACCATTTAGATTTAAAAAAAATTTATTGAATTCCTAAAGAGGATTGTAAACTGCCAACGTTCCCATTAAAATCCTCCTTGCGGTGCATGGATTTGGGCCAGAATTGTTGGTAACAATATAGCCAAAATACCTAAGTACTTATTACTTGTGCCCAAACTAGTGTTGAGTTACTTTATTTATAAAACGACAATGGCCCAGCTGGTTTATAATTCCTGGGAGGGCAGTGCCATGCGCTGCAGCCGCCTGCAGTGGGTGAGCCTGGACAGAGAGGGCTTCTGGCTTTGAGAGTTTGCAGAAAGCTAAGGAAAAAGCACAAATAAGGTGCAGACACTGCTTATCCCAGGGTGGCGCAGCTTCACCCACCACTTAAAATTAACCTCTTCATTTCCTTCCTGTTTACCAAGTTGAGTGTTTCCTGTTGGTGTTTATGTATTTTTCTATGCTGCGTCCGTGTGCCCGCCCTGAAAATGGAATAATAAAAATGTGCCCCTGTCAAGCCCGAGGATCAGGTGAAGTGAGATGCTACCCTTGCATTAGTTGAAGCTAATTAATTGGTATGCGGAGGCTCTTCAATTCCAGAGTAACCTGGACCACATCCAGCGGCTCACTCCCTTAGCATCCCACCTCCTCCTCCACTGCTGACTAGCTTGTCTCTGCAGGCCTTGTCTCATGCAGAATCCACAGCCGCTCCCGCTACCTACAACTCAGGCTGCTGCCCAGCGGCCCCCCAACCTCCAAGTCTAGTTGAGGACCTCGCTCTGGATCCCCTTGGGGAGAGAGAATCAGACGACAGAGTCTGCAGCTGTTTTTTTTTTCTTCGTCGTGGATGACAGATAGTGCTGAATGGTTTTTCACTTCAAGTCACTGAAGGGGACTGAGGTTATCAGCTTAATTTAAAAGTAGTGCTGGAGGAACACAGCCCTCTGGATATTTAGTAAGTACTTCCGACTAAATACATTTGGAAAAGCACAGTTTTAAAAATCTCCAAAGAAAACAAAATTTTAAATGGAAAGGAATAGTAATACAAATTTTGAAAAGACTATCGGTGTTGCTGGCGTTTATTAGGTAAATACAAAGTACAGGCTCTTGCAAAGCCAAAGAGATTAGAAACCAAGTACATATTCTCTGGAAAATAGAAACATAAATTACTTTTAACTAACAATTAGGCACTTAAAATGTCAATGCAAAATAGCATTTTGAAATACAAACTGTAGTTACACCCCTACCTACCTCCTGAAATGTTTTTATAACATGAAAGGACAGCATGGCAAACAGAGTCCGGAACAAAGACAATTCCCTTCTACTATGAGAAGCTGGATCTAAATCCGTGCCACAGGCCACCGCTTAAGGGGCAGAGGGTAGGAGAAGAGTTTGACGCTTCCATGTCAGATTAAACAGAAGCACTGAAACAAAACTGTGTAACAGCATCAGTATATGTCATCATGAAAAATATATGTGGAAAATAATGAGTTTTAGACTAAAATTTTTACTTTACAACAAGGCACTTAACACATTGAAAACACTACAATAAATTTCTGAAAGAATGCAACTGCCTCCCTCTCGAACCTTGTAGTATTTCTTTTATGAGTATACTGTAACATAACTGTACATTCTGCAGCATTAATCATTGCATAGGAGGTAACTTAAATAATGACTTCCAACTTGGCAATGAAATTGGCTTATTTATATATATTTTTTTCTTTTAAATGGTAGTCTTAACTCCACAATAAAAAAATTCTCAGCCATGATTTATGTAGAACACAGCAAAGCTGAACTAAGAAATAATAAAATAAATCAACATACAAGGTGTGTATCTATATAAAAGATTATCTTTGGGTACCTCTGACATGATTTTCAGTATTTAGGTAGTGAAATCAAGAGCACTTCTTAATAGAAGAAATATTTGTAGCAAGTCAGCCAAAGAAGTTAAATTATTGCAACAAATGACATAAAAAATACCAGGAATCTTCAGAAATAGAAAAGCCTAGGACACATGGCATATTACCTGTAATAGGCTTGATTTAAACATGTAAACTTATTGATTAAGGAAACCTGCTCACACTTCCTTTCCCTACAGAAGTGAGTGTATTAAAATTAGTTTAAATTTGTAATCAATTTTACAGTGCAAAACAACAAAAGGACTTAAAAAATTAATTCCAAATATTCAGGAACAAAATGTGAACTTTAAAAAAGAAACCACTTGAGTTGCAGCAGAGTTTCATGTTAAAAAAAAAACAAAAAACATAACAGTCAACATGGTGTTTCAGAGTAAACAAAGTGTATAAGTTATAAAGGGAGATACATTAATGACCGTGATAGAGGTAAAAATGGTCTGCAAACTTTCTTCAATTGGATAAAAGATTAGAATTGCCACTTCCTGATGATATAAGCCCACTTCCCTTTGGTAAGGTTTCAAATATTTGTAAAATCACTCCCCGCATGTGATGCTTTCAGGTGACTGACAAAAAACACAAAACAAAAAGCCTTTTAAATCTTGAAGACACTTTTAAAAATGGCCAGTTAGTGTTGCAAGTCATATCGCGTCCACCATGGGGCACTAGAGTATAGCAAAGAGCCCGTTTCCCATCTGTGCACAAACCAGCGCTGGCTCACTCTCAACAGCTTTTCTTTCACAGCAAAATCTGTTTCCTGAGATGCCAGTAAATTAAATAACAGATCCAAAATGAGGTCGGGTGGAATGGGGGAATAATACTGTATTTTCTGAGCTAAAGGGAGAGCTCAAAAAATACCCTCTGAGAGGATTGCCATTTGAAGAATTTAGACTGCATGGCCTCCTCAGCAGGAATTACATGCTAGGGAGATTGCACAAAAGGCCTTGACTACAGGGAGGCCTCACACAGGAGCGCTGGTTTAGAAAAAGGTGCATAATGGGAGACCTTGTATCCTGAGGAGCCAGGACAAGGAGCTCCCAGGTGTGGTGTCTGCAAGGCGAGGTTGCAATGGTGCGTCCACCTCCAAGAGGCATGCTTGCTGGGAAGGCCTCAGGTTCGCCTTCCTCCCTAGGTGAATTCCACTTTTCCTCTCATTCTGCTATCTGGAAACTCTGAGGTAGCCGCCTACCCTCACCCGACCCTCCCTTTTTCCAACCACATGCTTTGTTGGCATCTGTGAGAACTGGCAATAAACATGGCAGGAACACAGGGCCAAAACCTGCTGGAGGAATGCGGCAGAGGGCAAACGCCGGCTGGGCTGGGTGGACGCTGCCCTCACCCCCGGCCCACTGATTTCACCTGAGCGCTCCTGGCGCGGCAGCCTGCGCTGGCACCCGTCAGTGGCTAATACAGGGGGAGGCAAGAAGGTGGCGCCCAAAGTGGCAACGCACCTCAGGTAAGCGCCGGCCGAGGGCGGTCAGGATTTCCGCATTGGGGAAATAATCCGGGCGGGGTTTCTCCTCCTGCGTTTTGCAATGCCCCTTGGCCTTCGTGCCTCTTGCCTGGGGAGCAGCCACACGAACACGTGCAGGATTGTAGCACCAGAGGGGGTGGCTCTTCTGAGCGGGTCTGCAGTGTGCTTACAGTCGAAAGGTCAGGTTTGTGCACGGAGTCGAGCTGTCGCTGCCGAGAAGTGGTCTGGGGTGGTCTCCATCCTAAGCGCAGGACACTTCGCCTCCAGTGGAAATGGGACCGGACCTCCTACCCTGTGGCCTCGCCCTGACGCAGTGGCCGGGGTTTTGGAGTCTTTGGTGTTTCTCTAAGGTTACTAGAAAGCCTAAGAAATTCAGCCAATGATTGTTGAAAATATCCTGTCGCCTTCAACAATCCCTACACCTGACAGCATCAGATCAGAACTTAACCGTCATAGTCCAGCTTGTATGCATCAACTGAAAGGACTCTAGAAACTGAGTCCCGGGGCCCTGAGCTCCCAACCAAGTGCAGGAGCGGGGGGCATATGCCTCGCTGCAGGGTCCAGAGGACTCGCCTGGCTCGGGTCCTGAGCAGCTCGGGGCCGGGAGGCGAGGACGTGGCCGCTCAGTTCCAGTCCGCAGTTCTGACCCAACCTCTTGGCGGCTGCCCCCAGGTCATGAGTGCTGTTGCCGACGCCTGCAGGCTCAGGCTTGGGGCCCACTGCCAGGCACAGCACAGCCCTGGGAGTGAGCCATCCACACCCGCATCCCTGGGGTGCCAGGCATTTCCTCGTGTACTTAGATCATCTTTCTTTATATTATAAAAATAAAAGTGAGGCATCGTGCTGGGGGAGGGGGCAGGCTGCTCATTCCCAGGCCTGCGGCAGACCTCTCACCAACCTTGTGGGGACCAGGGAGCACCCCCTGGCTGTGGTAAACCTAGTGCTGGGCCCCACTCAGCTTTAGGGAGTCTATTTACACGCAGCTGGACAGATCCAGATGTTTTATTTAAAACATTAACAAATCTTCTGATCTCAGAGGGAAAAAGAATCCTGAAAAAACTTCCGCAGTGGAGAACTTGCTGGAGAAAGGCTGAGGGAGGGTGTGTTCTTTGGCACGCCCTTCTCCAGCCCTCGGGAGGCCCCAGGCCAGTCACCAGGAAGGCGAGGCCAGAGCAAGGTCTGTCAGGATGAGCGTGAACCTGCTGCCAGGCAGCGCCGCGGCCACTTCGCTCACGCCTTGGTCCGTGTCTTCACTTCCCAGTCAGTTCTCCGAAAATGAAAACACGAAACTCTACCTTTGGTTACAGCGAGGCCTTCTCGGCGGGCGCGTCCGCCAGCTCTCAGGTGCACTTCTCGTTGTCCTCGCCGATCTTCTGGACCCGGGAATACTTTTTGCACGATGACTTGAAGCAGGCGGGTGGCCAGGAGAGTGGCCAGGAGAAGCAGCACGGAATGGAGCCTTGGACATTCTTCTCAAAAAAATAAAAGATGGGGAACCACCATGCGCGGGACAGGAAGTTGGTCTGTGAGGAGACCTTCAAGTTCTGTGGGGGGCAGGAAAGAGGGGGATGGCATGACTCTACTTCCTCTCACAATGGCCACTGGCTCAACTCAGGGAGAGTGGCGGCATCCAGGCCACAGCAGGGGGTTCCCACAGGGGCCTGACATGCTGGCCACCCCTCCCCTAGGGGTGGGGGAACGTGCAAACCCCGCTGCAGGTCCAGGAGGATGGAGCCGCAGTGGGGATCAGGCATGAGCTTTGTCCAGAGAGCCATGTGCAGGGTGTGAGACTTGGGGCAGTGGGTAGCGGAGGGAGTCCGGACGGGTGTGAGAACCAGGGCAAGCTGGAGGGCATGATGCTAAGTGAGACGGCAGGAGGAGAGAGGGAAGATACCGGATGGTGTCACGATGTGAAATACGGAGAACCCGAACAAAGGACCTGACGAAACTAAGCCACAACAAACCTAGTGGTCTGAACGCAAAAGTGAGGCGACTGGAGGGGGAAGTGAGGGGGGAGGGGCAAAGGGCACCAGTGGTCTAGGGTGGAGGATTATGGAAGCTTTGGTGGTGGGTGTGGTGTGGTGACACATCTGAAGTGTTGTGAACCTGTCCCCCCAAAATATACAATGTTAGCTCAACAAAAAATAATTATGCCAAGATTATCCTCAAGTAAGTTGTGACACAGACACTGTGACACCAAGGACATACCCCAGGACTAGGGAAACAAAGGGGTAGAATAGTCCCATGTTGGAGCAAGGAGAGAGTTAAGGAAGGCTTCCTGGAAGAGGCAGCATTCACACCAACTCTTTCAGGATAAATGGGTAAAGGGAAAAAGTGACCCAGGAAGAGCAAACAGCGCTAACAATGAGGAAGGATCGGTGCACGCACCAACTCCAGGGAACCTCATGCACTTCTTATTCCCCTGACTTAAGTAGTCACCCTCTTTTCCTCCAAATTAAGTTCTCTGAATACAGGAGGTCTTGAAAGCCAATGGCAATGCTTCCACAGAGAAGCATTTTAACTTAGCATCTGTACTTCAACTCCTACAAATTACAGGTACAGCACCTTGCTTAGCCTTCGTTACACTGCATCCTAAACTGTCCTTCCTATTTGCAACCAGCAGTAACAAACACACTTGAGTGAACTGTGGAGGCCGCAGGTGGGCAGCCGTCCCCAGGAAGCGGCCGCCCCGGACCGCTGCGCTCACCTTCTCATTGGCCATGGAGTGGTACCACCAGAAGAGCCGTGTGGTGATGTAGTAGGCAACGATCACGTCCACCGTGTAGTGCTCGTGCGCCACGAGGATGCAGACGATGCCCGCCGAGCTCAGCAGCCAGCAGATCAAGTGGTACCACCAGAAGTGGCGGGGCGAATCTGCAGGGAGGGACAGCACCGAGTCAGGAAGCGCCCCCAGGCCCACCCCCGACCGCCCTGTCCCGCTGGCCTTCGCTGGAATCACCTAAGGTCAGACTCATGAAAAGCACCAGTGCTCACAGGGAAGCGAGGGGTCCTGGATGGTGGGGGAGGGGGGCACAGCAGTCTCGCGGGGCTGCAGGCCTATCCATGCCAGTGAGTGAGGAGGAGCCCCAAACCCATCGCATGAGGGGGCTGGCTCAGACCTGCTCACCAAGGGCCCTGCTGCAAAGGCACAGTGGGGGCAATGGAAAGGAGCCGTCTACGAAGATGCTGGATGTGAGAGAGCGGGAGTGAGCCTCACGGGAGTGGCTCTGGGAGCCACGGCCTGTGCCAGTGACACCGACTCCCGCAGTCTATCCTGCTATGGCCTCGCCCTCTCGCCTAGGGCTTAACCTGTGAGTGAGACCATGGGCTGCAGCCTGAGGATCAGAGGAACCATCTGCAGTGAGGCACACGCAGGCCCCAAGGAGGCAGACCTCGCCTCTGACGCAACCCTTCTCTCGCCGTCGGTTCCTCCTGCCACCCATCACGTGGGTGACTCAACGATCCTGGAGTTGGAAAGCTGGGTGAGCCCTTACTCTTGTGTGCTGGGGGCATAGTGGGTGCCCACGCTGTTCTGTTAGGCTCAGCGTGTTAAAACCTGAACATGGAGACATCTCAGAGGCTCACCAAGTACACGTTCTCCAGCACCACAGACCTCGCCCGTCCCTAAAGCCTCACCAATCTTCCCTTGCTTACAGGGGAGAGTAAATCTGACATTTACCTAAAGATAAAAATGTCTGGGTGAAGCAGAAGTTTGCTCTATTTTCTCCACCAGCAGCAGCCCTGAAGTGGGCAAGGGCACTGAGCGGACATTTCACCAGCCACAGATCAAGAGTGAGGTTTCCGCTGTGGCTGGAGGCCCTAGCTTCACTCTGAGTAAAAATATACCTTGTCATGCCACCCTATGGACACTACCACCCCTCAGAGAGCCCTGGGTGATGCCAGAAGACAGGACAGACTTGACTTGAAATTAGAAATGATGAAAACTAAACCTGTCTGCCCTGCCATTCTGCACCATCTGAAAACTCTGTGTGGTTAAAAAAAAAAAAAAAAAGGCACAATGGGGGTGGGTGGTGGCTTCCCCAACTAGCAGGACACTCGGTATCAAGAGCCAGGCTGGGCCCTCCAGGCTGATGTTTTTAAGGAACGCCGCCCCGGAAGGGGAAGGCGTCTGCAGACGGCAGGAGGCCAGCAAAACCATTCAGGCCTCGCCTGCGCCCGCTGCGTCCAGACGCGCTACTGACACAGCAGGAGCGGCGGGCGCAGCTGACAGCAAGCTGCGAGGAAGGAGACACTGGGCGTGGACGGTTCCTCTGACCGCGAGGACAGGTCCCGGGCACAGCGGCACTCAGAAGGCGCCGCGTCTTGCAGACTCCTAACTGTGTGGGTGACGCGCGGAAACATGGGTGGGGTGGCAGAAAAGTGGAGGGCACACCCCCATTTTTTTCTGGGGGCCTCTGTCCTGAGCACCACAGATTTTCCGAATATTGGGCAAAGCAGAATGTAAGTCTTATCTTGTGAAACGCCTGTTCATACCGGACAGCCTTCATCAGAGAGCAGACACAAACCCGAGCTGCCCTGCTCTCGCTCAGGTGGGGACACAGCAGTGATAACAGTCCTCACACGTGTCTCCTCGGCGGCTCTGTAGGGTCGGACCCCGTCCGTCTCCCAAACTGCTAAACAGCCAAGGAATGACAGCACGGCCTGGGGACTCGGCCTGCTGCGTGTGGACACCCTGCCTCCCTCTGCTCCCCGGGGGACACAGCCAAGCCACCTTCTTTACTCCTTTGCATTCTGCAAAATGGGGAACAGAGCTGCCCCCTGGAGGTGCAGGGCTGCAGGGAGCATGGTGCTGCCAGCCCAGGCGGGGCCTGGCAATGGGTGCTGTGTCTGCCACTTGGCCTCTGGACCCGTCACAGAGCTACCCGGGCCTTAGGTGTCTCCTCTTCTCTGCGCGTCTGGGCCTCGGCGGCTTCACTCCACGACCGTCCTCCCCACCCGCCCACGCGCTGAGCTGTGTGTGGGCCTCAGACAGAGGGCCTCAAGGCAGGAACAGGAGAGTGCCTGATCTAGGTCCCAAGGGGCCTTCCACGGCCAGGTCAGGGTTGACAGGCACAGGCCCCTCCCCCGGGCAGGGCCAGCACGTTAGAAGGTGAACGAGGGAGGAGACTCCCCTGACGCTGGTGCAGACACGGCCCTCGGTTTTCCCCTTCCACCCTGCCCAGAGGGTCAGAGTAGACAGAGGTCACCTTCGACTCCAGGAGCATGAAGGCCCACACCTTACACCCTCTCCCACCCCAGGTATGGGGGTGGCGCTGGCAAAGGAAACGAGCTGGGGAGCTCGCTCTCTCCAGTGCACATGCACATACACATGCCCCGTCTAGCTGCCATCACTGAACCCCGCCACCCCGCAGACGGCCACAGAGAAGCCTCCCACAGGGCACAGCGTCCCTTCAGCACGGGATAAAGCGGGGGGCAGGGGGGTGGCCACTTACATTCCTTGATGAACAGGTACGTCAGGGTGAGCACGACCGTGTGGCCGCTGAAGAGGAAGTCCCCACACAGGATGTGGGAGCCGGTGATGGACAGCCCGCCGCCCGAGATGAGTCGCAGGATCCGCTGCACCTTGGCTTGCGAGTCCCCGTTGAGCTGGAGATGCAAAAGCAGGCAGCGCGGTCACAGTGCGCAGAGCCGGCTCCGGCTGGTCTGGGGGCCCGGCGCCGCCAGGCTGCGACTGCTTCTCTCTATGGGCTTCAAGCTTCGGGATGAAGCTCAGGGGAGAAGGCCTCGAGCTGGGTTTTATCACACAGCCAGTACTAGTGCTGCATCTTCAGTTATTCAATATGTGACCAGTGAGTTTTGGGGGAGCGGTGTCCTGCGCAAACCTCTAACAAATATCAGGACCGCAGGCCTCCCTGGCAGCCTAGGGGTTTGTCAGAGCCCTCACCACTATGGCCTGGGTTCGATCCCCAGCCAGGGAGTGACCCACAGGGCCCAGCAGACCTCTCCTGTTTCCCCACTGCTCCCCTCAGCAGTGTATTTCAGTAAAACTGCCTGGTCTGCTCGCTACTCCGTCTCTGGTGAATTCTCTCATCACCCCTGCACCGCTAGCCTGTACCCCAGTTCTTATGCGCATAAATAAATAAATTTTAAAAAATATATATAAGGAGGCCCTCCCTGGTGGCGCAGCGGGTTAAAGCACAGCACTGAGAATCTGAAGCCGCTTCCGCATGAGTTCGATTCCCGCCTGCCGCCTGCCCCGGAGGAGACCACATGGCGAGCCAGACCTCTCCTGACCCGCCCACTGCTCCCCTCAGCAGTGTACTTCGTCCATCTGCCTGTTCTGCTCCCCACTCTGTCTCTGGTGAAGCCTCTCACCGTCCCTGAGCCTCTGGCCTGTACCCCAGTTCTGTATGAATAAATAAATAAATCTTTAAAAAAAAAAAAATATATATATATAAATATATATAAGGAACCAAAGACTTCACCAGGCCTACATGCTCAAGAGGACGTCGCCCCTCAGGGGCACATCATGTTGGGCTGCTGCTACTTCTCCAGGGCTGTGGCCGCATCACTGACACGCAGCATGTCCTCGGGCTTCCCAGCAGGGGGCGGCTGCAATGCGTGGAGCAGAGAGGGGACCTGTCCCCCTGCCCCTCGCTGCCACACCGCCCCCTCCTCCGCCTCTACAGGCCGCTCCCACCGTGGAGCATGAACGCCAAGGCACGTCCACACCTGGCCGACAGCAGGGGCTCGCCCGGCGCCCCTTGGCCAGCTCGGCCCAGCCTCAGGCCCCTGCCCCACAGCACACAGCTGCCAGTGCAGAAATGGCGTGAGAGGGCTAGGGCCTGCCCAGCGGGTGCGCCCAAGTGAGGAACACACACTCTTCTCCTGTCAGAACACAGTGCATTTTCTGTATCTCCCTCCCTATCCACTCAGCGCTCGGATTTCCTACGCGCAAGAACACTTAAAACACAGCGTCCCTCCTCCTGGCACCTGGAGTCGAGGGGCGAAGTTCACACACTGGGGCTATGGTGCCACCCACTCTGCCTGCTGCTCCGCCCTGGCTGTGGCGATGTGGGTGCACTTGATGCCACCAGTCTTCGCGAAGACTCTCCTTTCCATAAGTCCTCAGTTCTTCCACCCTCACATGTCTGGTCGTGCTCAGTAGAATCGCCAAACTGATGGGAGGACATCGAGGTCCAAAGAAAATGGGGGTGGGGGCCAGGGTGGACTGTGGTGAAGAGGGCATTCTGGAAGGCTTCTCCTAGGTCGGTCTGGCTCCCTGGGGTCCACGCCCCACACCACTTTACACTCTGGTTCCCACACAGCTCATTCCGCAGGCGTCACTCTCTGCCCCTCAGCCGGGCAGGCACTGGGGGTGAGAGGGAGAGGCGCCCACCGGCAGACCAAGCCCCTCCGGCAGTAACCGCCACACCATTCCTGGCAAAGACAAACAGGTTCCAGGGAGCTGCACCTGGTGCTGCCAAACCAGAAACCTGGCAGCCCACATGGGTCCTCCCCAGCAGAAAGACACTGCTGGACACCAGGACTGGCGAGGGAAGGCGGAGCTGCCCAGCATGGCCTTCTCACATGGAGACGTGGGCTTGCAAAGGAAGTCGCTTCCTGCCAGCCTTGGTAACTGGGCCAGAGTGCACCAAAGCACACTTTCCCCAACACACATGCTGTGACTGCAAACCAGGGCCTGGCTGGGTGGATGGAAGTAAAAGCCTGGAAGGAAGTAAACCCAAGGCTGGAGGAGGGACAGACCAAGGGTTCCACACAGGGACCTGCAGCTGCAGTGGCGCTTGTGGGGGTCAGCTCCACGGGGTGCCTTGTGCTGGGTGTCCAAGGTGCCTATGACCCTCCTGGGGGGAGAGGTGCCTTACTGCCCAGAGTGGGGACGGGCTCCCTAGTGGGCAGGCAGCAACAGGGAGGCAGACCACCCACAGGCCCGCAGCCACAACCCAAGGGGCATTCGAGGCAGGGCTGCTTCGCGTTCTGGAGGCATCCTGAGGGTTCCCACTACCCCAGCCCATCACAAGGTGGTCTGTGGTTGTCAGAGAGACGGCGGCTGTGCCTCAGTAAGTGGCTGGGCCCTGGAGCTGGGGCTGATGAGCCAGGGTGCTCCAAGCCTCCAGTCAAGTGTGTTCCCCCAGGATCCAGGCGTGTGGGCACTGACCCACCGCTGGGAAGGGCGATACTTCACAGAAGGTGATCTTTAATTTGCCTCCTTTCTGTAATCACCATGACCGCCCTGCCAACCCCCTCGGGAACCAGGATAGGCCTGAGGCCACTTCTCCACTTACACATTGCAATAACCCCTCTGCGTGTTTACTATGCTTCTGAACTTCTCCGCTGCCTTAAATTACTTTTACTAAAAATCAGCCCGTGTTTAAGTTCTCTATGTCCACTGTTTTAATTACTGTTACTTTCTGCTTTGATGGTGTTGGAAAATTATAGCTTCTCCAAACCACACCTATATTTGGTGAGGAGACTGTGTTGGCTCCTCCAGACAACTATTTCCCCTCCACTTTGGACATCTGCTTAGTGTTCAGTAAAATGACATGTTTGACTTGATTCCTTCGTCCAGAAAGCACATGATTTGTAAGACTCCTGTCTTAGGAACCAGGGCACCCAGGCTAGCCCGTGGTTAACAACTGTCTGGGGAGCTGACTTTACCGGAGAAGCTGCTTAACTCCCACTCTCGATCTCAGCAATGGCCCCTTTCTGTCTCGCCAACTGCTAAAACCTTTGAGGTCCAAAAATACTTCTCTCTTTTAAGCCGATGGCCAAGCTATTAGCACCTGCTGTGCATCCAGCACAGGGTCCCCGTCCAGATGCTTTCTCATTAAGTAAATATTTTCTTTAAAGTAGCCAAGTGAAGGAAGTAACTTAAGCATTCCATAACAGAGGAGTAAATGAATGCACATTCTTTATACACAAGGGAATATTAGTCAGCTACCAAAACGATAAGCTTGCCACTTGCAACAATATGGATGGAACTGGAATGGATTACGCTGAGCAAAATAACTCCGAAGGAGAAAAGACAAATATTGGATGATTTTACTTGCGTGGAGTATTAACCAAAAGAACCCCCAGCTGTCCGACTGTATCTGACTGTAGAATTAATGCCACGAGAGGGAGGGAGGTGAGCAAAGGAGAGAGGCAGCTCACTGGACTGTGGTGGAGAGTTATGGTGCCTGGTGGTGGGTGTGGTGGGCCAACATACATCTGAGGAGGGTTGAACCCAGCCGCTCAAGTATATATAGTCTTTGTATATAGCAACTTTGTAAACCAAAGTTGTCTCAGGTAAAAAAAAATTATACAACTAAAAAAAGTAGTATGAAAAGTGTGAGTTCAAATGGCTCAAATCCTACCACTTGTAAGCTGTGTGACCTGGGGACGTTAGCTGAGTTTCTCATCTGTAAGATGAAAAGAAGACCATCGCCTTCTTCATAGGGTGACAGTGAGGGGTAAGTGAGAATGCAATTTGTGCATGTCTGATGTAGGGTGAACACTGAAGAAATATAAACTGTTGTGCCACAAGAAATCTTTCTAGGCCTCTCTGTAGAACTGTACCTACTCTCTGAGCTCCTTCAATCTTTTCTGTTCCGTTACACGGCTGATAGCTGCTTCCTACCAGGCAGCAAGCGATAAGCTATGTTTCAGCCTGGTCTTTCCAGACTGTGCGGATAAGGAAGTGTCTTTGCACAAGGACATGTTTTCTAGTTCTTCCCCACAGTCTAAGGAAAAACAGAAAATCAGCTTGAGTGCAGTTCACACTCAAGGTGGGCGGGGGTCAGTGTCTGCGGCCAGCAGAGGGGTCTGAAGGCCTCAGGGCGGAGCGCAGCCCAGCCCCGGCCCAGCCCCTTCCAGGGAGGCACTTACCTTTGGGGCACACTGGAAGTGCATGCCTGGCACCGGCAGCGTCGTGACATACATGGTGATGCAGCGGTACAGGTACAGGGTCCCGATGATGAAGAAGAACCTGCGCCCCACGATCGACCTGGAGGAGACACAGGGAGGGGAGGTGTGGTAATGGGGTGCTTCTGTCCCACACAGCAGAGAAACAAGTTTAACAGAAAAGGAGCCTGAAGGGCTCTGGGGGGCATCCGTGGTGCAGGTGAGTGGGCAGGCACACCTGGAGCCACCACCCTGTGCTTCATGGAGAGGAAAGGACGCCAGTGCCCGCCCAGAGGAAGGAGGCCAGTGGGAGTGGGGTGTCGACCGGACCAAGGGTTCTGGAGGCCTGCCTCTCCTCAAAAGAGTGCCCTTTACTGGAGAATCTGCATAACTGGACACACAGAGGAAGTGTGGCCACTGGACCAGGCCGTGGAAGCCAGGTGCACTCGGGACCGCTGCGAAGGACTTGGCAACCTGGGCATGGAATGTTCTAGGACCACACAGGTGTGTCGGGGATGATGCTGTGCTGATGGCCAGAGTAGCCTGTGTGCTGGGCGGCATTAATGGTGATGTTACCAGTGAATTCCTTTACCCTTATTTTATTCAGTCGTGATCAACAAAGGATTAAGGATCTCTCTGTATTTTGGGAGGCAGCAGTGGCCTTGACTAGCATGGGGTTCCTGTCCCTCAGCCCCAGGCCCTTGGCTGGTTCTGAGCCACTACCCTCCCCGCATCCACCTGCCCGCTCATGGGCACCTGGTAGGCACTGAGCGAGAGCGGATGACAGCCGCTGTGTCTTGCGGAGGTAGGCCTGGACTCTAGGGATGGGTGGGACCAGAAAACCCCTAGAACTGCGAGTGGCAATTGCCCTAGTCCATCAAATATTATTCCAGGTCGCCTGTTTTTAGAGCGCTCCCATTTTCAAAACTAGCAATGATCGAACGCTGGTGTGAAAACAGGAAGTTTCAGGTACTTTAGGTTTTCTCCAAGACTGTAGTCCTGACCTGGATCAAGGTCCCATTCAGTAATTGCTGGGGCTAAGTACAACTACAATTTTAGCTGCCTCTCTCCAGTGGCTATTTGAAGACTATCCCAGGGTTTCTGGAGTCAAAACTGAGGGAGGAACATCACCCAGATGAGTCGTAGAAAGTACTGATTTATTGCAAGGCATCTCTTCAAAGGCCTGCTGTCCCAACAGCACCCAGTCTCTGCCTTTGGGTAAGTGCTGGACGACTTCTGCAGGCTCAACCACAGGCCCCAGGGGGGCACAGGGCTTGCTCGAAGCTGGCGGAGACAACAGAAGCAAGGGGAGGTGGGTCCATTTATTCCAGTGTCAGGAGCTGAGAGGTCCTCAAGGCAGAAAGCTAACTGAGAAGGTGAACAAGCCACTCTGCAGTCTTACTTGGAAAAGAACTACTGCTAATAATTTCCTTCCATAGTTTTGAAGCTGTGAGAGAGGAGAAAAGACAGGAAGAAAGAGAAGAGGGGAGAGGAGGGAGGGAGAAGGCAAGTAGGACTCCTCATTCATCTGGGATGCTCAAAAGCAGGTTTTAAAAATTAAGGGCCCGCCCTGGTGGCACAATGGGTTAAAGCGTGGCACTATGAAGCTACCGCAGCCACTGCAGCATGAGTTCCATTCCCAGCCAGGGAGGTGACCACATGGCACAGCAGACCCCCCCTGACCCGACCGCTGCTCCCCTCAGCAGTGTGTTTCTCAGTCGGCCTGTTCTGCTCCCCACTGTCTCTGGTAAATCCTCTCACACCCTGCCCTGCACCTCTGGCCTGTAACCCAATTCTGTATGTATAAATCAATAAATCTTCTTTAAAAATTACTCCACTAATTACTGAAATAGTAGCACCAATCCAAGGTCAAAGCAAAAAGATGTTTTTATAAGTAAAAATAAAATCATTTACTAAGTCAAAATTACTGATAGTGATATGACCGGCACAGTGGATGTCATGAAAACCTGCCAGTTTGGCCAAGAAAAAGACTCAAGTGTGGATGGAGAAGCAGCAAAGAGTCAAAGTGACACTGCACTTCAGGGTAGGAACAGCTACTTAGATTCTGAGAAATTTTAGATTCTGACACAGATGAATGAAATTTTTGCTTTATATGAAAGGAGAAAGCAAACATCGCTGGAGCTATTAGAGTCAGTGTCAATTCTGGAGACAAAAATGAAAACTGCGTTTCAAAAATTTTTTTTTCTTGCTTATAGCATAAACAGCTTACAGCGTTAAGAATTGCACTTGCAAAAAGTTCTACTACATAAAAGACAAAGGGCTGCTTCTACTTCCACCTACTCAGGAAACATTAAGAGAAACACTGAGGAATATGCTTAGGAATAATTTCAGTCAGTGGAATAAGTTTTCAAAATTGCAAACTTGAAGTTGGGGAACTTTTTCGCAAAGACAAACTGAATCCTCCACTCAGCAACAACCAATGGAAAGAACAACGAATACATTCTCCCTTCTCAAAATGAACGTGTGGCATCAACCCTGAAACCCTACTTTGAAGGTCTGCACTACATCAATAAGGTAGCATGCATTGCAGTTCCCGCGTTTATGGGCGATGCTTTACGCACTTTTATTTTGGAGATCTCATTATGTTACCTGAGTGTTCCATAGAGAACAAACCTCTGAATGATGAGAAGAAAAGGGGCATTGAGGGACCTTATTTTGGATAAACCAGAAGTCAGAAATCACCATTTCAGAGCGACGGCCTATTTTTAAGTGTCTTCAAAGCAGAAAGACCTGGCGTGGAGCTTCCCGGTGGCTGCTAGTCCCAACGCCGAGACAGACCAGCGCACTGAGCGCGCCTTTGTGGGGCCGCGGGGAAACCAGAGGGCTCGTTTACTTTAGCAATCCAAACCCCAACCGCAGGGACCCATGTCTAAATCCAGTTTCTTAAACAAACTCTGACCAGGCTGCCAACTGGCAAAGGAAAAAGAAAGACACTGTTTGAGAACTCCCGAACTCAACCCAGCCTGGAAGCTTGCTGTGGGCTGTGGACCCCACAGCTCTTGCCCTGAGGGGGCGGGCACACTACCTGGGGGGGGGGGGTGGTCCTTTCCCACCTGTGGGAAGCCTAAAGCAACACAGAGTGAGGAGGGAATGCCATTCCTTTTCAAGGGTCTTGATTTTGCACACAAGTTGTTGCATTCACGGGCACCCTCAGTTCGCAGGGTGAATCGCCCGCCCCAGCGCTGGGCAACTGCACCCGCAACGGGTGGCTCAAGGAACGAACGGCTACCACCCAGGGGCCTGGGCTTGTTCACGGTAGGGGTCTTTTGCGTCCCTCTGCTCACCCAGTGCCTGCAGTGGCTGGAGCAGAGCCGCAGGGCCCCGCCAGCAAACGCCCGGCCCACCCGCCCGCCCAGACCCACTTACTTGTATCTGAGAAACAGCCACTGGGTGACCCACAGGCCAACGAGTATGATCCCGTTTATTTCTGATACAGAAAACGCCCATTTCACCCGGTCGATGTAATCGAAGAACTTGTCGGGCAGGGGCGGGCTGAGCTCCTTGGGGGGCACGCGCTCGTGCACCACGGTGATCATGACGGTGGTGAGCACCAGGTTGAAGAGCGCGTAGACGAAGGCGATGCCGGTCTTCCACCACTCCAGCGGGAACTTGTTGCGCAGCTCGGCGGGCATAGCGATCTGGATGTAGTCTGGGTACTTCTTGGCGCCCTTCCGCAGCCCGTTGGGCAAGCTCTTGGCTTTGTCGCTGCCATTTTTGCTCTCCTCCTCGGCCAGCTCGGTGGGGCTGGTGTAAGTGTCGGCAGGGTGGCTGGTCTGGCTCTCCCTGTGCTCTTCGAGCTTCGCCGTCTCTATGACATCCATTGTCCCGCGTTCAGATCCGCGACGCGGCGGCCGGGCGCTTGCTCTCTGTGGCGACCGAGCCCGCGCGGCCTTTCTGTGGGCAGCTCAGCATGGACGCTGCTCGCTGACCCGTTCCCTGGCGCAGGGCGCAGACCGCGGCCGCCGGGCGGCTGCTGCCCCCATGCAGCTGCGCATGCACCGCTCTCAGGAGATGCTGCTACCCCACCTGGAAGGACAGGGCGAAACAACATTGGGAAGATGGGCTTGTCTGACTGGCCACCGTGCAAAAGGAAAACATGACGACACGAAGGGAAAAAATACCAAAGCCACGTGGCGTTAGGAATAAACACACCGTCGGGGACACAGCTAGGGCTACTGAGGTCTTATTTGTCAAATGTGGAATCGCTTTCTCTTGGGGTGCTTGTCTCCTTAGGAGGGAAAGTCCATACAAGTGGCAACCTGGTACTAGTCAATTCTGCCTAAATGTCAAAAAATAAAAAAAAAAGTAGTAGCCAATACTGCACTAACACCCCTGTTGCTGACCGTGAAGTCACAATCAGCTAGAATCTCCCCCCGAGTCACACCATTTCCCTCCTCAGACTGCATCTTCTCTGTCAACCTTAAGGAATAAAAACTGGTATCCGGCCAGTTAACATGCATCAAATAATCGTCACTCTTCACACTGCTCAAGTCAGTTTTCTACTTTCTCTTGAAAAACTGGGGTCTTTCTAAGCGACCACTGCTCAAAATAGATCAGTAATGTCCTGTCGGGTATATATACAGCCGTGCAGCCTCAGTTTACCATGTCCTATTACACAAATGCACTTCAAACACAAGGAAACCTGACAGCCTTCAAAATAACCCCATGAAAAGATGCAGAAAGCCTCAGCTGGGTCTTATTCAGGTCCCAGAACCTCCTAGTAACTGGAAGGATTGAATACTTCACTGCAAGTTAACGGCACAAGTTAGTAAATAAAAGCACGTTGACAAAACCCCCACAGTGTCTTCCAGAGAACAGAGGCCGGGAGCCCCAGGCACTTACCCGAGCGGCTTCGGGTGAGCTCCTCCTCGGGCTCCCAACGCAAGCCTTCTCCCGGCACAGCCTGGCCGCCAGCCTTTTATACTTGGCGCACACAGGGCCCGGCTGTTCCCAATTTGGGAAAGCAGTATTTTCGTCCCAAGTCACCCCAGCCACCTGCGGAGGCTTCCAACCTCGTCATTAGTCCCCACCCGAGTCTACCACACAGCTTCGGCACGGTCTTTGCATTTTTAAGGCCTCCCTCACTGGGAGACTTCAGGAAAACATGAGGGGGAGAAACTCCACAGGGAGGTAGCTAAGCCTTTATTTAACCAAAAAAAAAAAAAAAAAAGGGGGGGGTGAAGGCTAAAATGGCACAGTCACTATGTACATATTTGGCAATATCTGTGGGCCATTGTGGATGGTAAATAGATGCCTGTTGAGGGTGTATGGCTGAGGGACATCTGAGGCAATTTAAAGGGCTGGATAAAACAAAACCCAAAATAAGGCCCCTGACCTCAACACTACCCAGGGGCCTATATTTGGTGGGAGAGACAGAGCTAGGTGGACAGGACTGGAGCAGCCTGGGCAGCACACCGCACAGGCAGGAGCCCGGGGCGACACTCACGACGTGTATCCAGAGAGCACAGCCTTGTTCTCAAGAGGCAATGCCAGAAATGGAGGGTGGAGATGGCAGGAGACCTGGCCCCAAACCCTAACACCTTAAATCAGGATTCTAAAGCAGCAGGCCTCTTTGGCAGGGTTTCCCGTTGCCCCCAGCACAATGCTGTGAGAAGACTAAACCGACAGGAAACCCCGTGAACTATCCCCCCAAACAACCTTCACCACCATGGGTCCCCACTTGCACTGGAGGCTCCCCACACTAGCTCAGCCATTGCCCGTCTCCCTGCGTCAGCGCTAGACGAGGCCACACGCAGCGTCTCGCCTGACGGCCCTGTGAGTGCCCTTCAACTCGACCTCTCCACATCTGCCTGGAGCCTGGTGTTCGTAGGTGACTGGAACCCAGGTCCCACCAGCACACACACAGGCGGTCTTTACAAAGTTCCGCCCGGTTCTAGAACATGGAATGTAGAACAGCGATGACCCAATTAGTTACCCGTATTTCTTTCTTTTTTTTTCAGAAGACAAAGCACTCAGCCACCGCCTCATGGGAGGAGTGGGGATGACTGAAATAATTAATCATGCAGAGCTTCGTGCTCCCTGGGGAAAGAGTGCCGAGAGTGCGAAGCCCGTTTATTGTCATTAGCGGGAGGATTGATATTTTCCTTGGGATTTCATTAGGGAGATTAAAGAGGCAAAGCACGGTGTGTCAGTGGGAGGTAATGTTTGTCACCTTGAGGACATCCTAACGTACTCATTCCTGTGGTCATCCTGGCCTCTTGGCTGCTCTCTGGGGGAGTGGCAGTATTTGCAACAGCCTTCTGGAGGGCTGACAAGCCTGTGGCTTCATTTGTGTAAGGCACCATACCAGAGCTTGAGGCAGAAGAGAAGTTAACCTCTTCTAGCATCAGTGCTCAGGGTGGAGAAGTGCTAGACGTGAACCTAGGTGACGCTTACAAAGTGAAAGACCTCTGTAGGCTCATGTTCCTTTTGAAGGGCAAGTGAAAAATGGAAAAGTTTAGCACAGCAGTCACAGTGCTTTGCTGGTTTATTTATTTATTTATTTTTTTGAACTATGATTTATTCCAAAAGGAAGGTTTCGAATTAGATGATGGCAAGTAAAACACAAACATGTAGAAAGAAAAGGCACCTGCAAATTTCAATTCCCACTTAATTTTTAGGAGAGAAAATCTCCAGTGGTAGGAACAGAGATACATATAGCCATGCTTTTTCGGTAGGACACTCATAATTGTTGGTGCCATGAGGGCTCTCAGGCATCTCTAGGGATGGAAAGTCTTCTGTTGCCTGGTTTTTTCATACCTTAAAGGAGCTTTGGTATCTTTCTGTGAAGCTACAAGAAAGCCTACCATTTCACTTCTGTCTCGTTCAGATCACGTCTACTGTACTCTTCAGGTTTGCTATGCAACATACTTAGGATCACGCCCTGCAGAGGAGACGAGCGTAGACAGGTTCAGGCCGGGGGCCGAGATACGCCTGGCTGGCTCGATGTGTGTGTCAGCCAGTTGTGCCTTTTCAGTGGTCAAGGAGATAAGCAGCAGAAGTTTGCAAACAGTTAAAAAGTGAAGGAAGCGCTCTTATGCTTCAATGCGGGCTTTACTGTTTAGAAAGATGCTGTCTGTTGACATTCATGAAGCACTGATCACAGAAAATGTGCTTCTAGCTTGCAGATTGCAATTATGAATAAGATTTCCATGCCCAGATTCCAAGGCATGTGAAAAATTTCCCACCCATCCTATTTTCAGAGAAGAAGACATCTTAGCCTTGCCCTGTTAAGTCTTAGAGCTTAGGCAGACCTCTCCCTTGCAGGGCATTTCAATAAACCTGCCTTTCTTGTTCTTAAAGAATAAAAAGTGTGAGCGTTTAACGTGCTCGTGATTCTTCCCACCTGAGATGGCTAAGCACTCACCCTTACGGATAACTAGACCCCCCTGAGTCTACTTCAGAAGCGCCCACAAAATCCGTTAAATATTGTTACTTACAAGTTCTCAAAAATTGAAAAGAGCCACTGCTTAGTAAAAAATGAACAAGGACATGTGTGAGTACTTTCCCAGCAAAAGTAACCTGGCCGTGGCTGCCACACTGCCTCCAGGCCCATGTGTGGGGAGGTGAGACAGGCCACATTCCACAGGTGTGGTAAACTGGCCCGTATCGTGATGGCACTACTCCGAGAAGGGACTCTGGGGCAGAATTTTAATGAAAAGCAGCACTGAAAAAGCAACGACTTCTGAGCTCTGGGAGAGAGGTTTGAGTGGTGAACACACCTTTTGATTTCTGCTGCTTATTTATCCCCCAAATTAATAAGGCAGGCTAGATAGCATTAGCTCTCAGAGGGGAGAACAGAAAGATGCAGCCCCCTGATAAGGCCACAAGAGGCTGCAGTGCCTGCAAATAGGCTGGGACCTTTTTTCTTTCCTTTTTTTTTTTTTTAAAGATTTATTTATTTATTTGTGCATACAGAACTGGGGTACAGGCCAGAGGCTCAGGGGCGGTGAGAGGCTTCACCAGAGACAGAGTGGGGAGCAGAACAGGCAGATCGACGAAGTACACTGCTGAGGGGAGCAGCGGGCAGGCCAGGAGAGGTCTGGCTCGCCATGTGGTCTCCTCCGGGGCAGGCGGCAGGCGGGAATCGAACTCATGCGGAAGTGGCTTCAGATTCTCACTGCTGTGCTTTAACCCGCTGCGCCACCAGGGAGGGCCTCTTTCCTTTTTTTAAGCACCATATTTAAATTTATTTGTCAGTACATTCAGTACATGTATGAAATCGCTCTTCTCACAGTGCTACTAGCAAGCCAGAGATTGCCAAAACATAATGCCTACTTTCATATAAGGAGGCCAAGCCCTACAGTGTCCAGGAGGGGCTGGGAGTAGCAGGTGGCAGGAAGCTTTTGCTCATTCATTCATTCCCCCGGGTCTGAGGGGTGCAATTTTTCAGACAGATAAATTCTGGCCTCAGAGAGGCCAGACTGTTAGACACTGTCACAGGTGGAAGCAGAAGAGCTTAATACAGAGTGTTGTAAACCTAGTAACAGAGATCAACTGTTAAAAATGGGGAACAGAGGAAGGGCCCCCTAATCCAGAGGGGCTGGAGGGCAGAGAGACCGGGGCAGGATGCTGGTCAGGAAAGACGCCCT